CTGATCCAGGCCATGGTCTTCACAATTACTTGCTGTATGTCAGTGAGCTGGACAGTGACTAAGGATGAAAGAAGAAGAATCGGTGCCTTTGAGTTGTGGCGCTGAAGAGTCTTGCACCCTGGACTGTCAAGAAAACAAGTCTTGACTTGTTTCAAGCTTGGTCCTCAGGCATGGTTCAGTCAGAATGTTGATTCTGAAATGGCTTGGTTAAACTGTCTTGGAGAGGTGAAACCCAAGTTTTTGTTGGAGACTAAGAGTTTGAAGCTCTTTCTCATATACTTTGGGCAAGTGGCCAGGAGGGACCTGTCCTTAGAGAAGAACATGCTTAGAAGGGTGCAGAACAGTGCAGGAGAGGAAGATCCCTGATGAGATGGATTGACTCTGTGAATGACTGGAGCAACGGAATTAGGTGTGTTGGAGATGATGAGATTGGCTCAGCAGAGGGCAGAGTTCAGAACTGCCCTACATTGGGTCGCTATGTGTCACAGGAGAGTTGATGACATGTAATAACAGCAACAACAGTGCAACTTTAGAGAGCTCTGGTAGCCTCGTGGTTGAAAGGTGTCCTTCGAAGCAGGAGTGGCATCCACTTCTGAAATGGCTTGCCTCCAGAAACTCTATAAAGAGTGCTCAGGCATTTGATTCATAGGGTTGCTATGAGTCGTCTGTGACTCGATGGCACCTAACAACAACAACAACGACAGCATAGAGAGAGCTATGTTGGCCTAGTGGATAGAAAGTTATGGTACCAAGCCCAAGGTGGGTGATTTTAATCTGCAGCCCTCAGGCATGGTTCAATTTTTTTTTTTTTGGTCAAACATTCTTCTAGGTGGTATAGCACTGGTCTGTGTGTTGCTGTGCAGAGGTAACTCGTGGTTGCTGTGATGCTGAACACTGTGACACTGATGTGTCAAATGTAATAATGGTTACCCATGGTGGACAGTGTTTGGTGGAGCTTCCCGATTAAAACAAGCCTGGAAGCAGGAGTGGCATCCACTTCTGAAGTAGCTTGCCTCTGGAAACTCTAGGGACAGGGCTCAGGCCTTTCGTTCATAGGGTCGCTATGAGCGTCTACGACTCGACACCTCACCACCACCACATTCCCAAAGACACATGGCTCAGATCCACCAGCTGCTCCATAGGAGGAAGATGGGTCGTCTCCTTCCATGTGTTTTACAGCCTCTGAAAGTGACCAGTGGAGGGTCACTTATGAGTTTGCTCCAACTTGACACACACCACCACCAATAATGGAGCAGTACAGGATTAAATCACTGCTATTGAGTCTAATTCCCCTCGTGGAGACCTTCCTTATAGTTTCCAAGGCCCCAAATCCCCAAATTTCTGTGGCCAGGGACTGTTCATTCTCCCACGGAGCAGCTGGTGATTTCAAACTGCTAACCCCTATGAACGATAATTCTCTTCTTTTTAAAATTATATTTGGAAATTTATTAGTGTATACTTGGTAACTGGCCAGTTGCCTAATTGGTTTCACTCCTTTCCCTCTGTTCCCCAACCACTGACCTTTTGATTAACACCACAATGTGTCGTCCCTTAATGGAACTTTAAGTTTGGAAAATTAGAGAGATGCAGCCTTGGAATACACGTCAAAGGAAATGAAACGAAGCTGGGTTATATCCCAGTGGGAATATACAGAAAAGACACTGCTGCCAGTTCTGTGTAGGGGAGAGCAAGGTGTTTTTCTGTTTCTTGAAATTCTGAGTTCCACAGTTGAGAAATACTCCTTTAACAAGCTATATCTTTAACACAAATTTCCCAGCTACGCACACGCTGGCCCGCCAAGTTCCTCTAGAAATAATCAAACCACATCCACTGAAGAGAATTGGGTCTCTGAGATACAGTTTATAAAGTCTGTCAGTTCATTAGTGACTGTCCAGATTCATTTCTTGGAACACAAACTCCAGTTCTTCCCGAATAATGACCCGTTGTCGAGGCTCTGGCCCAGCGTTGGCAGTGTTCCTGCTAACCTTAGCTTACCCGCTCTGATTTCTCCTTTATATCACGTCCTCTGCCGAAGCCAGTGAGATAAGATTAGCCCTTAGTGACATCGTTACTTATGTCTTCAACTTAGCAACACGAAGCAAAAACAGACAAACTAAGAGAGGCAGTTCATTAGAATGGGTGAATTCATGGGCGTCGGCAAGCAAGTGGCTGAGTTACTTGTGCGTGTCTCAGAGTCGCTGCACAGATATTTATGGGGTGTATTTTCACAGCCTCTCTTCTCATCGACTGAAGTAGGACTTTCTAGTCGTCCTCTCTTTCCATAGTGATTGTTACCCTGTACCGCAGGGAAGCACAGGCGTCACCCCCTGTCCCTCCACTTAGATGATGTGTCCTGAGATTCTGAGTTTTTCCCCACAGTAGTCAATAACCTGCAAGGTTGTAATTGCTGTTTAACATATTTAGCGGATTTGAATCTGAATCTATAGCTTCTCTTTAACATTAACTACTTTACACTTGATGTTTGGACATAAATGTTATTATTCCAGTTTCTGTGGTGCTGGAGAACTCTTACCACTTTCATCATCAAGCTAGGAAGATGCTTTTCTTTAGCTTGTAGTGGCCTCCGTTCTTTACCTGAAGAGCTCTGCTGACGTTGTATGTTAAGTGTTGCAGAGCTAACAGAAAGGTTGGTGGTTTGAATCCACCAGCTACACTTAGGGAGAAAGATGAGAAGTCTCCTCTCTTAAAGGCTTACAGCCTCAGAAACCCGATGAAGAGTTGTCATGACTCAGAAGTGACCCACGACAGAGATGTTTTGTTTTGAATTCACTCCTGTTTTTATTTTGGGGTAATTTTGTTTTGTTTATTGGGCCTGTGATCTTACATCATTCATTACCACAGATTTGGAGCCTTTAAGAAACCCTTAGCTTAGAGACTTAAATGTCTCCCTCTTCCAGTTGTGCCTTTGGTCTTTGCACTTTAAATTCAGTTCCCCTAGTTATTTCCCTTTTATCCAAAGCTCCCAGTAGTCGGCCAGCACTGACTGCTGGGAAGATTCTGGTGCTATTTTGTGCGCCTGAATTCTTGCTGTTTGCATAATCCTCAGAGCAAAACAGGAGAGCCTTGGTAGCCCAGTGGTTGAGTCCTCATATGTTAACCCAAAGGATGGATTCAATTTACTAACCTACTCAGTGGGAGAAAAATATGGCAATCTTCTGTAAAGATTAGCCACTGCTGTGGAGTCACACTCCAACTCATAGCAACTTTCCGTGGGGCTCCTGAGGCTCTCAGGTCTTTATGAGAGGAGCCTGCCTGACTTTCTCCAGCAGAGCAGCTCATAGACTTGAACAACTGACCTTTTGATTGGCACCATGGCACATAACAACACCACATGATAAGGGCTTCAGTCTCAGAAACCATGTGGGAAAGATATCTCCCCCCCCTCTCTCGTTGCTATGAGTCAGCACTGTCTCAGTGGCATTCAGTAACAGCGTGATAGAACAGCCCTATGGTATTTAGAGCTCATTTAGTTGTTAGATGCCCCTGAGTCAATTAGGATGTATTAGTGACCCTGTGGACAATAGATGGAAACCTGGCCTGGTCCTCATTCTGGTCACAGTATGCCATGCTCAAGCACATTGTGGGCAGTCACTGCGTCCACCCATCTTCTGAAAGGTCTTCCTCTCTTGTGCAGGTCATCTGTCGGTCTGTCCTAGCGTAGTGTCTTTTTCTGAGGACTGGCCCCTCCAGACAGTATACTCTCAGTACGTGAAATGAAGCTTCACCGACCTTGCCTCTGAGGAGGACATGCTTGCACATCCTTCAAGACATGGCTTGTCTGTTCTTTTGGCAGCCGCTGGGGTAGTCAAGACCCTTCCCAAGCCACAATTCAAAGGCATCCATTCCTCTGTGGTCTTCATTTGAACGCCTAGTGTAGCTTCTAGGGATCCTCCTCTACCACAGAAGGGACGTTCTCATTTGTGCCATCCCATTCCCACCACTTTGTACTCTTGGTTACTTGTGTCTCTAATGTTTCTATCATAACTTATGACCCTTGTTGTTCTTTACTGGCAAGTTGGAACCAACCCATAGCTGACCCTCCAGTGGGTTTTCAGAGACAGTTAATCACGTGTGAAGAGATTCTACATCCTTCTCCCATGGAGCAGCTGGTGACCTCAAACTGCATCCCTTCGGGATTGTGAGGGTATTGTCTTCCAAACATTTGGGGCTCTTGTCCTTTCTTTGTGTAGTCACAGAGTGGTCACAAATTTTATTCAGGAAGGTAAGTCCAAAAAGGAGACAGAAGCAAATGAACCCCTCACTAATGGTCACATTACACGAATGACTATTTCATCAAATATGAGATGGGTAGAGGTTTTCCAAGGCAATTTGCTGTTTTTATCCCCTGTCCTATGTCGTGATTGCTGGTCCTAGGTTCTGAATGCTTGGTCTGTTTGCCCTGTGTTGCATTCGGTAATGATTGTGCATGATAATAGTACAAATTCTTCAGTGCTATTTACCATAGCAGGTGCAGCACATTAGCACCCAACATTAGACCATAATGCAACAATGGCTTGTTGGAAACAGCCATAAATATCTCATAAAAGCTTAGGATTTCTTCAGGACCAGTCCATCACTGCTCAAGAGCTCCCATCTGTCACCCTAAAAGGAATGATGCAGCATTTAAGGCATTGTCTTAATTCTGTGCGCTAGAAGGTGGTTTTAAATTTATTCTGATTGACACTTGAAGAAAAACATTCATACCGCACAAACTGAGCCTTTCATCATTTATAATGTTGTTGTTGTCATTTTAGTAATTGAGGTGGTTTATGAACACTGTTTATCAATGATACAAATGGCTTTCTTACTGAGAAGCACCTGGTTAAACTGTAAAATGAAAATTACCTGTTTATAAAGGCTTTTTAAATCTCTTCTTCCCCACTCCGCCTCATTGGTTTTCCTTATTCAGTGAGTGATTTGCTGTTATTTCAGTGGCCTTATTTTTTCCCCCCTCTGCTTCCTGTCCATTCACACCCAAGATGGAGGGAAGGAGGTGCTGTCCATGCACCAGATACTTCTCTACCTCCTGCGCTGCAGCAAAGCCCTGGTGCCCGAGGAGGAGATTGCCAACATGTTGCAGTGGGAAGAGCTGGAGTGGCAGAAGTACGCGGAGGAGTGTAAAGGCATGATTGTCACCAACCCGGGAACGGTATGTCCTCTTGTCGCCTCCGTTAGGAGCCGAGACACCTTCCTTCTCAGCTTTGGATGTTTCCCCCTAAACAGTGAGAGAATAGCTTAAAAGCATCTGTGTGTTCACCAGGTTTTGTCCTGTGAGACATTCTTCCTCTACCAGTTTATTAAGTAAGAAGCATTTATTTAGCAGTGGATAGGACAGGGTTGAGATCTGTTGTCCATAGGGTCGCCAGGGGTCGTACTTGACAGCACCTAACAACACTAACTGTTAGCAATACTAATGCAATAACTGGAGAATTTTGAAATTCAGAATTTGATATGTTTATATCTGATTTTAGACTGGTTTGAAGGCAATAGATCTTTAGTGTAGAAAATTAGGAAGATAGAAATAGGTACAAACGGCTAACGGAAAACAGAAAATTATCCATAATTTAATTCTCTACAGATTATTTGCTTTTCTACTCTTTGTAAAATAGAAAGGATTTATATTATTTTGAAACAAAATTAACATCCTGCTATTAAATATTAATATTCTGCATTTGCCGCTACCTTCTGCTCCTTCAACAACATTCACAGCAAAATTAGCATTTTTTCAAACTCGTCTTAAATTTCCTTAGGAGTGCAATTTACAAAAGGCATGTATGCTGATGAAATAATTCCGTCAGGATTGTTTCCAGACCTTTGCTGTAATTAGCACTGCTGTCAATGTATATGTGTGTGAATGTGCTGGTGAAAATATATATACACACTTATATTGTTGTTGTTGTTATGTGCTGTTGAGTCACCTACAACTCATAGTGACCCAAAGTACAAGAGTCCTAGAGCCTGCCCTGTCCTGAGCCGGTCTCACTGACTGTGACACATCAACCCCCATTGCCTCTGTAATACACCCATTAATATCTGTGCATCTTTGCCTGTATAACCATTTCATTTATTCGGAAGAAATTCTGTGTGTGACTTAGTAAATTGAAAGTAGGTACATTTTAAGAGACTTCTGACCTATATGGCACGTTGCTTTATAGAAAGCTATCAAATTTGTAGTCCAACTGGACAAAGTAGAATGGACCAGTTCCTTCATATTAGTTGTATTAGTTTAAAAAAGAAATTACCAATTTGATAGGCATAAAAGTGAGTTGACAAATTTTTATTTTTATTGGCCAGTAATATTTTCTTCTAATTACTTCCTGTTAATATCTTTCATTTTATTCCTTTTATTGTTCCTTATTTTTTCTTGATTCTTTGCCATAATTACTCTGCATATTGAATACTTGATACTACTATTTCTCATTTCTTCTTTTAGTTTCTTAAATTTTATTTTAAGAATTAGCTGCTTGTATTCAATTTTGAAGGTGAAATAAAAAACCGAAACCAAGGAATTGAATGGTAGCTCTCATTCATTGTCATCTAGCCAGGCCCAGTGTATAGTGGCCCAAGGTTTTTCTGAGACCGGTAATTGCATGAGAGGGGACCGCTTGTCTCTGTGTGCCAGAGGCCCGGGTGGGTGCGAGCAGTGCAGTTCCCTGCCAATTAGGTCACTGCAAGTCCTCGGAACCTAGTTTCTCGAAGGAAAAATGCTGTGTTTTTTTTTTATATCAGATAATGATATGTATCGTTTTCATCTAAAATGTTATTGCTCTGTAAATAAGTTCTTCATTGACCTCTTATGGTTGTAAAATTTTGCAGAAATGAAAGAGATAAAACTTCCATTTTAAAAATTTTGTGAAAACAGTTGTCTATTCAAACAAAGCTGCTACTTTTAAAAAGCTGCCAAATTGTTTAGTGGCCTTAATTCATAAAAACAAAAACTCTGGACCAGTTCTTTGTTGCATGACAGTAACATCTGTACAAACAAAATGTGGCTGTTTGCAAGCAATATAACGCAGCCAGAAAGTGCTTCATAAAAATATGTTTGAACATAAAACTTGAAAATAATAGAGCTTTAAAATGTTAAAGGACATAAATCACATGAATAATTTAGAAAGACTTTTTTAAATATGTAAGTTAAAGTATATGAGAATAAGACTGAATTATTTTTTTCTTTGAAGTAACAGATAATACCATTAATGTCACATGCAAGTAAAATTCTGAGAAAGATTATTAAAAAAACAGCTGGATGAGTACATTGACAACAAACTGCCAGAAATTCAGACTGCCTTCAGAAGAGGCCATGGTACAAGGAATTCAGTGCTTTTGTCAGATGGGTCTTGATTGAAAGCAGAGACTATCAGAAGGATGTTGATTTGTGCTTTCCTGACTATGCAAAGGCATCTGACTGTGTGGAGCATGACAAGTCATGGCTAACATTAAGAATGGACATCCCAGCACACTTGATTGTACTCATGCTAAACCTTTCCTTAGACTTAAGAAGCGGCTGTTTGAACAAAATCAGTGAACACCACATAGTTTAAAATCAGGTTTGCACCAGTTTTTTATCTTTCTTTATACCAATTCAATCTGAATGCTGGACAAATCAGTATAGATTGAAGAAGAATGTGGCATTAGAATTAGAGGAAGACTCATCAACTTGTAGAAAGTGAAGAGAACTTGGAGGCCTTACTGTTGAAATTCAAAGACTTCCACCTTCAGTATGGATTACTTCTCACCATCATGAAAACAATGCTCACTACTGGACCCATCAGTCTGTAGTATCATGCGGAATACTTGGAGAAAGGAGTAAAGTTGTCAGTTATTTCATTTTACTTGGTTTCACGATCAGCACCCATGGTAGCAGCAGTCAGATATTCAAAAGATGTGTTGCATTGAGGTAATCTGTTGTCAGGGACTATTTTAAAGGACTAAAGAGTAAAGATACCAGTTTAAAGACTAAGGTGCATCTGAGACAAGCCATGATATTTTCAGTTGCTTTAAATGCATCTGAAAGTTGGACAGTGAATAAGGTAGACTGAAAAAGAATCAAATGCCTTTGAGTTGTGGTGTTGGAGAAGAGTACTGTCTCATGCACTACCAAAAGAATGAACAGGTCTGTCTTGGGGAACAACTAGGGTGCTTCTTCATCTCCAATATTTTGGCGTGTTGTTTGGAAAGACCAGTATGTTGAGAATGAAATCATTCTGGGAAAAGTAGAGAAGACCTTCAGTGAGACAGTTTGATGTAATGACTTAAGCCATTTGAGCTTGAGCATGGTGGAGATGGCGAGGATCCCACAGATTAGGACAAGGTTCTAATCTGTTGTTCTTAGAGTCACTGAGTCATGATCTACTGTATAGCACCTAACAACGGTTGTTGTAAAATAAATCTATTTCCTGCCAGTTTTAGGGCTTTGCCAAAATTCAGAGTGGGGTGATGGTGGCGGGAGATGTGTCTTGGTTGGACCATTTGAATATTCCCTTGCACTAACATTGATATCTTAGCAACAAATCTACGTGTAAGCTCTCTTCCGTGACTTAGTTTTCTTGGGATCCCAGAATCAATTGAGGATTTTGTAAAAAGGTAGGGACAGCTTTATGCTAATCAGGAGGATCTGGGACCAGAATTTCAAAACATTTTCAACTGCTTGACATTCATCTGTTGCTTACTGTTAAGTGAAATTCATTGTGATCATCAGCTAATATTCATTGATTGAGTACTTTTTGAGCCATGTGCTGTAGAAGCTTCTGTTCTTTACGAAGTACCTACTCCCCTGAAAATGTGAGTATATCTGTATAAAAGAAGTCAGTTAGGAATTGCTGAATCAGGGACCTCCCAGTAAAGCCTGTAGTTTTAGTTATAGGAGAGATCACTGAGCCAAGGTGGCCAGACATGCTTGCTGGAGGAGTACCAAAGCAAGGTCTTTGGGCACTGACAGTGCTATGAAGATAATGAGGAAACCAGATTGATCAGGATGAAAGCTTTATGTAGGAGTACTGTCAGCAAGAAATTAGGAGACATAAATTTAGATATAAGACTTTTGAACATGTAAGTTAATGAATCCTTTTTCAGTGTTACCTAAAGATAAGCATTGTACAAATTCCACATAATGCATGGTAGACTTGATAGTACAATTCATCCTCTGTAGTATTTGCTTTGAAAGATTGCCCAATGGTAAAAATATTGAGAAATATATTAAATTTTTAAGCCACTATGATGACATTAAATTATTGCCACAGAACTTAAAAGACTTAATCTTCTGTCTAAAGCATTTACTTGCTTTACTGAGGGGACACCCTTTTCATTAGTCTGATTTTTGTTTTTTAAATTTTTGTGTAAATGATAACGGTAAATGTTGTAGAGTTGTGTCCAAATCTAGACCTTATTTTCCTCCTTTCCACTACCCTGTCCACATAAATTCAGAGACAGCACAAGCGTTTTTGAACATTTCTCTGTCAGTTTGTCTGTTTGTCATGATGTGTATGATGCTATGGGTAAGGAAGCTATGCCTTTTGTATTTCAAGAACCGGCTGGGCCATCTACGGCGGACAGATTTCAGAGAGCTTTTAAGGTGAGGTAAGGCCGATTGTTGTTGCTAATGTTAGGGGCTTTTGAGGTGAGCATGACCCATAGCAACCCAAAGAACGACAGATCTGAGCCCTGTCCTGTTGTGTGCCATCCTCACAGTCTCCGACTTACTCGAACCAATTGCTGCAGTCAGTGTGTCAGTCCACCTGGTAAGCAGATGAAAAGGAAAGAATGATGATCTACTTCTGAAAATTAGCCATTGAAAATCTTAACAGATCACAAGAGAACATTGTCACACTTACTGGCTTTGGACATACCAGGAGGAGGGCTCGTTCCCTGGAGGAGGACATCATGTTTTAGGAAGTAGAGGACCAGCGGGGAAGGGTTGGATTGGCACAGCTGGTGTATCCATCAACGCAAACTCGCCAGCAGTCGTGGGAATGAATTAGGCCTGGGTGGTGGTGTTCATGAGATTAGCATGAGGTGGATCTGCCTATAGTTACACTGTTAATTGTGCTCATGCAAATCCTGTATGTAGACCAAGAAGCAGTTGTTTGAGCAAAACAGGGGGGATACTACATGCTTTCAGATGGTGAAAACTGCGTGCCAGGTTATCCCTTCACTATACTTACTTGCCCTCTATGCTGATAATTAGGAAGCTGGACTAAATGAAGAAGAACATGGCATGAGCATTGGAGGAAGACTCTTGAACAGGCTGTGGTGTATAAATGACATAACTGTGCCTTTATTGGAGATGACGTGGACTTGCTCATGAAGACCAAGAGTTAGGTCGTCAGTATGGATTAGAGCTCAGCATAAATGAGCAAAACCCCGCACAACAGGACCAGTAAGCAACATAATGATGCACAGATCAAAGAGTGAAGTTGTTGAGAATTACATTTTATTATCTATTGGATCTGTAGTCAACACCCCTGGAAGTGACAACCAAGAAACCAGTGGTCCTATTGCAGCATTCAAATCTCTGCAAAAGAAGCAGACATGAGGAGGATTGGCTAACTTAACTCCAGGCTCTGGTGCTTTTAGTCACCTCACATGCACCTGAAAGCTGGAGAATTAGTATGTGAATGGTGGTGTTTGTGAAGACTATTGAATATACCATGGACTGTCAGAAGGATAAACAAATCTGTCTTAGAATGATTGTTAGTGATGCTGCTTAGAAATTTGTTTGGTAAGACTTCGTTCCTGTATTTGGGACATGTTATCCAAAAGGATCAGTACCTGGAGGAAGACATAATGTTTGGTAAAGAAGAGACTCAGTAAAAAAAACCACACCCAAAACCCAAACAAACCACCTACCTTTAACCAAGTGAATTGATCAACGACTATTATAATGGACTCAAACAAGATTGAGTGGTTTCCTTCTATTGAACGTGTGGTCACTATGAGTCATAACCAACTGGACAGTATTTAACAACAATATAAAAATAAAAAAATAGCCTTAGTGGATATATTGTTGTTGTTATTGTTATGTGCTGTCAAGTCACCTGCAACTCATAGCAACCCTATATATAACAGCTCTGAACCCTGCTCTGTCCTGAGCCAGTCTCACTGACTCTGACTCATTACTCCCATTGCTTCACTTACTGTATCAATCCTTTTCATTTGGGGTCTTTCTCTCCTCCATTGTCCCTCTCCTTTTCCAAGCATGATGTTCTTCTCCAAGGACTGGTCCCTCCTGACCACATGCCCAAAATATGAGAGAGAGAGCTTCAGAATCTTAGCCTTCAAAGAGAAACTTGGTTCCACACTAAGACAGACCTATTTGTTTTCTTGTTATGTTCAAGACTCTTCTCCAGCACCACAATTCAAAGACTTCATTTCTTCATCTTTTATCCTTAGTCATTGTCCAGCTCTCTGATGCATAGAAAGTAATTGTGAAGACCATGGCCTGGATCAGGTGCACCTTAGCCTCCTAGGCTGACATCATTGCTTCTCAGTACTCTGGAGAAGTCCCTGACAGCATATTTTCCCAGTGCAATTCACCTTTTGATTTCCTGAGTACTGGTGCGCAAGAGTGTTTGTTCTGGAGTCAAACAACCTGTAAACAACCTCAGTCTCTTCTCCATCTGTCATGGTACTGCCAATTGGCTCAGTGGTGAGAATCTTTGTCTTGAGAATATTGATGTTGAGCTTCAGTCTGTATTGAAGTGGATACATTAAGAGAGGCTTAATCATTAAAAACCCCCTGAAAGCCAAAAGTTGTACAAAGTGGAAACCTAGCAGGACAGAGAGCTCAAATATTTCCCACTGTGTGAGCAGTAGAAAATGGTAAACTGTCCCCTTTCAAAGGGTCAGACAATCTAACTGCATTCAGCTCTTACAGTTGTCCCTGTCCTGTATGTCACTGTGACTTCTAATTCCAATATGTAAGGTTAATGGAACTCAAAATAAGCTGAGAACTGTTGTTGTTGTTATGTGCCGTCGAGTTGTCCGCGACTTATAGAAACCCTATGTACAGCAGCCCTAAACCCTGCTCTATCCTGTGCCAATCTTATTCTCTCTGACACTCCTACCCCCCATTACCCCAGTCACTGAATCAATCCATCTCATTCAGCGTCTTCCTCTCTTGCACTGTCCCTCTACCCTCCCAAGCATGACATCCCTCTTCAAGGACTGATTCTGCCTTGAAACTGAAAACTAGAAGTGGGGGAGGGAAGTGATCTATGCAGTCTGAGTAGAAATAAGCTGTTCATATGAAATAAGAAATGAAGGCAGATAAGCAGACACATTGCCTCCTTGATGTGGAATACTTTCCCTGTGCCTTTGGAGAGGTTAAGGAAAAGTTACATCTGGTTAGGTGTCCTTTGAAAAGCTTAGTTCTTAAAGGTTTCTGTGTGGACTGCAAAAAAAAGAAAAAAGAAAAAATCATTTTCTATTATGCTACATAGCTCAGACTCATTTGCAGGGTTGACATTAAAGTTTTTATATGGTGGTGCTGTGGTGATTAAAGGGGGTTCAGTGATATTTTCCCTGTAGGGACCAGGCTTTCCTAGGAAAAAATCCAATCCATTTCTTCTCTATTTAGGTTAAAGCCAGTGCTTGAAGACTTCTTATGGGAATAAATGGTTTTGATTTTTTTTTTCTTCCTAGAAACCAAGCTCTGTCCGTATTGATCAGCTGGACCGTGAACAGTTCAACCCGGAAGTGATTACTTTTCCCATTATTGTCCATTTTGGGATCCGCCCTGCACAGTTGAGTTATGCAGGAGACCCACAGTAAGCCATTTCTCCGTGTTTGTCTTCGCCACTTTCACCTTCTAACAGCTGAGTTAGCCGAGGAGTACACTTTCCCTCGTAGAACTTAAGGCACGCCAGGAGCCACGTGTCTGAACAGAACAAGTTTTGTTAGCTTCTAAAGACTGATTCTCTCAGCCTACTTGTCCACAGAAAATTATTCTTCCACAGATTTTCGCTGGCAGTTTTGAGCGCCCTGAGTCCCGTCTGTTTTAATCCTCTGGAGACCTTTGCCCTTCCTCAACAGTACACTAACTGCTGCTGCCATGATTGTGTTTTCCGTGCCCTCTAGAAGAGAGGAGCACTGCTAACGTAGCTGGTTTTACACAGAGCACGGTCTGCGAGCGCCTTAGAGCGAGCTCAGGACAAGGTGCACGGTCAGGTGTTGTGTGGGCAGGAGAAGCCATGATCTCCACTCCTTGAGGTGGTATTGTCACTTCGTCTGGTTGTTGTTTTTCAACTGGATGTTGGTGTTTTGGGCTTTTTGTTTCTGAGGAGATGGGGGTATGTGGGACTGCCGAGAACCCCATTATACTCTTCAGGAGTGTGTGAACTCCCCACCGCAGGAAACAAATCAAAGAATCCAGCCGTTTTCAGGCTAGCCTTCATGTTTTTAGAAAGGAGTCACACTGGGGAGAAAAAGGGCAGGGGTGATTTTAAACTCATAAATAACAATTCTGAGTGACATATATTAGAAGAGGCTAAAGGGTTTTGTTCTTTTTTTCCCTCCTTTGGATAAAACTGTGAAGCTGTGATCCAGGCGCGGTGTAAGTACTTCTTTCTTTCATCCATTCTCTTAAACAAAAGCAAAGCTCTCAAAAAGGAGTTCAGCTGAGGGAGCAGTGTCTGCTTGACAGAAGATCTTTTGAAAATCCCTCCTCGTCAGCAGGTTGTTAGGTTGTTAGCACGTGATGAGGCCCCTTTGACTCCGGCGGTGGGACTGTGTGCCGATACAGGACTGCAGGTTCCCCATGGCCAGCGCGACCTGACAGTATCCTTTAGACTCGTCCGCAGCCATCACATATGTGACTGCCTCGCATCTGTGTGTTGTTTTGCTTGTTTTTGGTTTATTTTTTTTTTATCCTCATGATTACAAATTAGGGTACACCATTTGTCTTTTTATTTCCTCCAGTGGAGAAAAGGATAGAGCTATGTATGTATTTGAATATTGACAAAAATGGAATTCTCTGTCCTCACACTCTGCAGCCTTCACTCTGGGCAGTTCAGAAACTGAGAAAAACACACAAACCAAAACAAACCTACAGCCATTTAGTCTGTTCCGACCCAGAGTCCCTCTAGGATAGAGGAGAGAGAGCCTAAAGGATTTTGAAGGGAGGAGATAGCCAAGTAGTGGCTGGTCGGCTTCGACCGTAGATCATTTTTGTTAGCAGATGAGCTTAACCACTGTGCCACCAGGACTCGTAGAGACCAACAATATCTCTGTTAAAATGAACCGTCTTTGATCAAACACCAGAAAGTGCACATTTAAATAAAAGTTGTCACCTTCTAAGAGAACAGTGGAAAAGGGTGCATGTTTCCATTGGTTTGAATGTTTTTGTGTGATTTTGGAATTCTTTCTAGAGTACCAGGTTCATCATATAATGAATTAAGCTTCATTTTCCACCACAATAAGTAATAATCAAGTTAATCATCAGGTTGCAGATGCTTGTCACTCCTTCCACTCACCCCATAAAATCACCTCGTCATCTGAATGTAGGTTTGCTGTTTCATTATGAGTTTTCATAACAGCGTGGTCATGACCAGGCGGTCTCTGGAAACATCTGGCTTTATTGACTCATAGCTTCCCTTTCTCCTTGTCTAAGTTGTCTGGCTCTCCTTACCCTTAGGTATCAGAAGCTGTGGAAGAGTTACGTGAAACTTCGGCACCTCCTGGCAAACAGTCCCAAAGTTAAGCAAACGGACAAACAGAAGCTGGCCCAGAGAGAGGTTGGTAGAGACACAATTCTCAGAATATTAATGATGACCTGCTTTAGAGTTATTTCAGGATTGTTGTACTAGCTCAGTATTGTTGTTGTTGTTGTTGTGTGTTATCAATTCAGAACTGACCCATTGCTGACCCTCGGGCGGGTTTTCAGAGGCAGTTAATCACGGGAGAAGAGATTGCCCATCTTTTTCCCATGGAGCAGCAGCTGGTGGATTTGAACCATGTGTCTTTAGGATTGCAGTGCAACTTCTTATCACTGAGCTACCAAAGCTCTCTAATAGTGCAGTGTTCCTACAGTCAAGTAGAAAAAACTTAAAATTCATCATACTTGACTTTCCTCTACCCATATGCTTGTCCGTTTAGTGAGATGAGCTTATTTATAAGCTTTTATATCACAAGTTCCACATTTTTTACTAGTGAATTGTTGTTGTGTACCGTCAAGTTGGAACTGACTAATAACTGACGCTCCAGAGTTTTCAGATGCATTGCATTGCATAGGAGGAGATTTTGCCCACTTTTTGCTATAGAGCGACTGGTGCGTTCACCCTCATGTCTTGGGGATAACAACACTGCTTCTTCCCACCAAGCCACCAGAGCTCTGATAATATTCATTCCAGAATAATACTGATGTTTTATTTTTTTTTTTAATTGGTACTTTTTTTATTTTAATGAAAGCTTACAGAAACTTTGAATTTCCATTCATTCATTGTTGCACACTCTCCTTGCTGCCCATCCCTCCCCCCAGTTCGCTTTTCTCTTTGAAAAGTAAAAAAAAATTCGTTCATTGTTATACAATCCCCCCTCACTCCCTAGTTCACTCTACCATGCAGCCTTCATTCTGGACTCCTGCCATGACAATAATACCTAATCATATATTCCTCCCAAAGAGTTCTCTCCCTCATCTGTTTCAATGAAGTATATATTATTTATCCCCTCTTAGTTTCCCCCAGTCCTGAAGTCAGTCCCGTTTTACAACAGTGGCACTATGCAGTATTTGTCCATTTGTGACTGAGATATTTCACTCAGTATAATATCTTCCAGGGTCACCATTTTGTATAATATTTCATGAGTTCTTTGTTTTTTAATGCAGCATAGTATTCCATTGTGTGAATACACCACAGCTTCTCTATCCATTCGTTTGTTGATGGGCACCTGGATTGTTTCTAACTCTTTGCTGTTGTGAACAAAGCCACAATAAACATGGATGTGCATATATCTGCTTGGGTGGCATTTATGGTTTCTTTGGGGTAAATTCCCAGTAGTGCAGTTTCTGGGTCAAATGGTATGTCTATTTGCAACTTTTTGAGACAGCACCATACCACCTTCCATAGTGGTTGCACCATTTTACACTCCCAACAATAGTGAATAAGGGTTCCAGTTTCTCTAAAACCTTGCTAGCATTTGATATTTGCTGTTCTGTTAAATTTTGCTGTTCTTACTGGGGTGAGATGATAGCTCATAGTTGTTAAGATTTGCATCTCTCTTAGAGCTAGATGCTTTCATTTTAATTTTAAGAATAAACATTTTGAATATAAACTAGTCTTTTGTTCGGTAAAATTTTACTCTTTGTGGAGATGTTAAGGACAGGCTTTTGATGCTGGGGAAAAGGTGTTTGAACGCCAGCCCTGTCTTCCTGTCTCTTGAGCCAGTCAGCGTCTGCATGCTGAGAGTGCAGACTGCATTGTGCTGTGTGGTGGCCCAGGAAGAAAGGGGGCCGTGTGGCTTTCTCGTTATGTTAACATCTTTAGTGTGGATTTGGCCTGGAGTGGGACTCAGTACCTGGTGGAGGTCTTTGTGTTGGGGCCAGTGGCTGCCAGTAGCATTCTTCTGACTCTCTTAATAAAAAAAAAAAAAAAAATCACACAAGATTTTTGTTGCATTGTGTACGGGCAAATATAAAGTTCCGTTTTATAATCAGTTGCTTAAAGGAGCAGTAAAAACCTCAAACAGTCCGTTGGTGTCCAGTTTGACGGATGCATAGCTGACTCTCCAGTGGGTCTCACAAAGCTGTAACTTGGACAAGAGGAGGTTCCCTGTCTTTCTCTCGAGGTGGCTTTGGATATGCAGAAAGGTGCGGCCTTTGAGTTAGCAGTATAACCGATGCTGCCCCAGACCTCCCTGGGCAGTGAAAGTGTTCCCGATGATGTCTCACCGCAAGAGTTTTGCATTATTGTCTTTTTGATGTGACTTGCCCCAGCTGCAAATGTTTTTACAATGAGAGACTTGAAAATTGGAAGGTAATATTTAAAATAACTTGGGGTGAAGGTTTATTTACTCACTGTCTTTCTTTGATATAAATGCCTACGTAGGACTGGTGATTGTTGACATACATGTAATTTTTATGTGCTGATTTGAGATTTCCCTGAAGACCACATTTTGTGTTTTCTGTTAATTAAAAAAAAAAAATCAGTAAAAGAGTGTGTGTTGTTTGAGCTGGTGAGAATGGCAGATTTGGTTTAGATTTTCTTACCTAGTCACCAATAAGGCTATTCTTACACACCCACGGCTTTGAGTGTCCTGACATTCATTTCAAACAGGATATTTTTAAGTCAGGAAGAAGTTTGAGTACTTCAATGTCAGGATGATGTTAAATGGATCTAGCTTATTTTTATGCTTAAAGTTTGGGTTAATACGATTTTTTCTAATCCTGGCTTATTGATCACAATAAATTCTTTTCTAGGAAGCACTCCAAAAAATAAGGCAGAAGAATACAATGAGGAGAGAAGTGACGGTGGAGCTCAGTAGCCAAGGATTTTGGAAGACTGGCATTCGGTCTGATGTCTGTCAGGTAACGACTTGTCTAAGGACACAGTTATGTTTGTAGTCCCCTTCCTTAAAGCTGCAGCTGGCAGTGAAAGGCTCCTAATTCTGACAAGTTTCTTCTATTGAACAAACTACCTTGAGGCAAAATAGAAGCCCAAATTGGTGTCTGTCTTACGGGTTTTGTTTTGGTTGCTTTTGGGGACTGTTTGGTTTGGTGTGTGACCTGGTGCATGGTGGAGCCTCCTCGGTAATGCTAAATTCATTGTCTTCACTTTGGGTGAAAGCGGATCTATCCTTCACATGTGCCTGCGTCTTTGAAACATATGTCTCAGGGCTTAAACAGAAAAGATAATTCACCAGCTGTTCTGGCAGACTCCTGAAAGCAGTGTGTACAAACTTTCCAAATTAATGACTAAAATTTATGCCGCAGAGAGTTGAAGGAATTATGGAGTAGAAACACTGTAGATTTCATATTTGAGCCAAATGACAATATATTTCCTTGAGTGACCTTAGCTGAGATGATTCACTAATAAGTATGTTGCTTTCTATGTGGGTGGAATTTCTGCATGTTACCCACCATCTTCGAGTTGATTCTGACTTCTGTTAACCCTCTGTCAGGGTTCTGAGGCCATAAATCTTATTGGGAGGAGACTGCCAATCCTTCTCCCAGAGGGTGATTGGTGAATTTGAACTGCCAGTCTTTTTTGTTTTTTGTTTTTGTTTTTGTTTTTGTTTTCAGAAGAGGTCGTGGCTCTAGGGATATTATAGCTAATGTCAGATGGATCTTAGCAGAAAGCAAAAAATACCAGAAGAATGTCTATCTATGCTTCATTGACTATGCAAAGGCTTTTGACTATGTGGATCACAACAAGCTGTGGCTGACTCTGAGAAGAATGGGAACATTTGATTGTGCTGATATGAAACTTATACTTGGACCAAGAGGCAGTTGTAAAAACAGAGCAAGGAGACACTACATGGTTCAAAATCAAGGAAGGGGTTCGTCAGGGATGTATTCTGTCTCCATACCTTTTCAATCTGTACGCAGAACAGATTATACGAGACACTGGGCTATACGAAGAG